TACTCAATACGTCATTAATTCAACTGAAACAATGTTGATGTAACTAAACTAATAAAGTTAACATACTGTTTTATGTTAAAATAATTAATTTCGACACACATGGTAGTTAAAAGTAACAAATTGTTATCTAACTCAAGGTATTGGTTTAAATTTCATCCTTTAATATTTAATATTGCGAGAAGAACGGATTCGCGGAGTCGCCGATCAACATATTAATTATTTTTCCGCCGCTTATCGATCGTTAGGAAATACCTGGCGAACGTTTATTTCTTGAAGAGGTAAAAGACACCAAAATAGGGTAAATGTTTGAGAAATAGGACGCAATTTCGTATAAATTGCTCGTCGTCGCGTAACATCCAATATCCGACGCGTTTCTTAATTACGAGAACATAAAAGTCCGTATACCTACTGCCTGATGTTCCACTGAATTTTTTATGTAGTTACTTGTGGGAAAGGACTAACATTAACGAGAAAGGCAAATCGAGTTCCGCGCGCTAGATTGCGGAGGAACGCCTCCTCGTTCATTATCTGTACTTGCTCTTCGATTTTATTTACAAACGGATAAACGCATCGCTCGGATTATCTTATAGCGATCGATAGACTCGTATTAAATTGAGCAATTTGTAGATATACTTCCGATTATCGCGCTGCGATAGATCTTCGCCTGGATATCGCGAGGTCAAACTTAATTGATCATTAAAATCTTTGCCGCGTGCCATATGATTTTAAATTAATTCACATTGTACAAAAAAACTGTATAAAAAAGGCGGGACAAACGCTCGCCGATAATTTCGTAGTACGTCACATTAATTCAGTTTTCAATTTTAGCAGCAGACAGCTTGATGATTAATTGACACGTTTTAAATTTTTGTCCCGAATTTGTCAAAAAATTTGTAATTTTAATTAATATATGTTTGGTACTTTGAAATTACAGAATGTCTTCTAACTTAGTCTAACTTAACCGTGTTGCGTGCCGAAAATATGTTAAAAACACTCGTATATGCGACTCTACCTGTGGGGAAATGAATTTCCGTAGCCGCCCAAACGTTCGATGAGCGTTACGTCGCTGGGCCTATTGCTTAGCAACCGGAAGTAGCAACAGAAGCGTCTATAGCAGTTATAACACGCCTCACATTTTACGTTATACGGCCTTACTTACACACAGCTGCCTCGGCTGCGCGGGGTGGCAGATGTCTCTCTCAAATGTCGGCGTCCAATGTCATCGTCGGGGATCGCGACTGGAGTGCGAGCCGCCCCTGCATGGATCTTCGTGACCGACGTCGCCGATCGCGAAGACCGACGTCTTCCGGGAAACTGACGGCTTTCTCTCCTTTTCTTCTGTCTATCTTCTATAAATTTGTCGTGAAGAAAAAGTAGGTAACGCGAAATAAATAATAATAATCTCCGGGATGCTCTCTCGATCACGAATGCAAGATGATTCCTGCGAATTGCATCAGCGATTATTAATAAATTCTAGAATTGTCAGGGGATAAGGTTGCGCCGGAGACGGAGACTCCGAGATGGCGTACAAACAGCAACCGGTTCAGGACGAGCTGGAGCTGGAGACGATGGCGGAGGCCGAGCTCTCGAGGCTGAAGAGGCAGTACAGGATAATGGAGAACGATCGGGCGGCGTGCGCGGAAGACGCGAGGCTGCAGCTCCGCAATCAGCAGAACGCGATCGATCGGCTGGAATACGAAAAGGCCGAGCTCGTGCTGGCGATTAAGACCGCGCGATCGAAAGCGTTCGCGCGTAAGGACGTGGAGATGGACGGGAAGCTGAGGTGTCTGTTGACGAAGCGCGCCAATTATATCGAGCTGATAGAGAACGAGAAGCGACAGATAGCCGAGCTCGACGAGCAGATCGGCAAGGTTGCTGGTATTGCCAATGTCATGTCTATGTGGATCTGTATAAGCAAATAACGCGCGAATAATATGATTATATATCTGTTTGTAGATGTAGACACGTAACTAATTAACTATTTCAGCAAAGCCAAGTAATCTATATCCTTCACTGTTAAATATTAAGAGATGAAATTTAAACTAATATCTTGAGTTAAATGACCTTTTGTTATTTTTAACTACCATGTGTGGCGAAATTTCTTATTTTAACAAAACAGTAATAGTTTCAACTCCATGATTTTAATTAAATTAACGATTGAGTAGGAGCAGTAGTGAATATAGGAATAAAAATGATCCAAATCGAGTATAATTATTAATTTGACACTACGAATAAAAATTAACAAAATTAATCGCTTGACCGAAATACCGATTCGTAGATGTAAGAAAAATAGGACGGAGCATCTGATGCGAGACCACAAACATGTTATATCGCGACCGTAGTGATCGATAATGAACGAAAGCGTCGCGACTTGTCGCGGCGAGAGATCGCGTCGTCTTCTTTAAGCGTACACATAGATGAGGAGAAATATCACTTTCATCCTCGCGACATCACGTTTACGACACGTAAGAATGCTGTTGCAGCTTTCGAAGGATGTCACGAGCATGAAGATGAAAGTGCGCACCGACGTGCAGTCGCGGGAGATAGCGGCGCAGCACACCAAGACGATACTCATGCTGGAGAACCGGGTGGAGGTGGCGACGAAAAGGTTCAACCTGGTGATAGCGGAGAACGCGAGGCTGCGCGCCGAGATCGAGACCCAGCTGAAGGAACGGTCGCAGTTCATGCAGGTGTGGAACAAGCTGATCGGCCAATTGAACACGGGCAAGCAGATCATCAACGACCTGATCGAGCAGGCGACGGTCACGTTCAATCAGCGGGACGAGGAGCTCAACAAGATCCAGGCGCTTCGCGAGAGGTATAAGGAGTTGCGACGCGGATTTTCCGCGCCGTTGAATCGGTGCCGTACTGTGAAATGCGATCTGCGCGAGCGTAAAATATCGGCGATTTACGCGACATCGGATGTTGCCGATCGACGATTCACTCGCGAAAGTGGAAATCTTCTTCAGATCGTTGTCCCCATAATCTAGATGGTTTTGTTGACTACACGCGAAAGAGATCCACTCACGTTCGGTCTGGAATGAATGCGCGATGTCTTCGTTGTCTTTGAATTAGAAACTCGGGGGAGCAACGGCGGAGAGCCAATGGCGCGTGAAATTTCCGCCGCTCGCTTTCCGTACGATGCCGTAACGAGTCCTTGATTTATTCGGCCGCGGTGCGAATTTGCGTAATTTTCTGCCGAGCAGAGAGGAAAATTCCAATCCGTAAACTGACGAAAGGGCGTCTCTGTTCGCAGGGGTATAAGGGACCTGAAGAACCACACGTCGGAGATGTGTGAATTGAAGAGAACTCTGGACAACGAGATGAAGCTGCAGGAGTTCCTTGGCGTGAAGGGACAGTTCCGCGAGATGGTCGATCTGAACGCGAAGCGGGAAGCCGAGAGGCAGGCCAAGCGGGAGGAGAAGCAAAACAAGATAGCGGCCTTCACGCAAATCTTGCAGACGATCAGACAATTCACCGGTACCGTAAACCGGGCTTTTGTTTAGAATAATCGGGCATGCTAAAACGCATTCTCTTTGTGTTCTCAGATTTTCTCACGGCATACTTAAGCTTGCTCCAGTTTTAGATGTAGACGTATTTTAACGCTTATTTGATATTCAAACTATATATCCGATGGTTTACGCTATTAAATTAAAAATCTCGGCTCCGATTAACGCAATCGTAAATAAACAGGTGAGCAAGAAATCGACAAGCTCACCGCGCACTTCATCAAGCAAGAGGAGGAGAATTTCGCGCTCTTCAGCTACGTGAATGAATTGAACGACGAACTGGAAAGTCTTCAGGCGAGAATGGAACAGCTGACGGCGGCCATCGACGAGGCACGTGCCCTGAATGTGCATCGCGACCAGCAGCAGGCCGAGACCTTGGATAAGATCGCCAAGGAACTGGACGAACAGACAACGCTAGCGGATGCTGCCGAGGAGGATCTCGCCGAGGTTAATAAAAGAAAAGACTGTCCGAAATTTTACGTTGAAAACTTTGCGATTACTTTCTCGAAACTTGAAAACATTATTTAAAACGTAAAATATTTACGTCGATTGATAATAAGATGTCACTGTTGAAATTTTCATTGGCAAATCAATGTCGCGCGCCTTTCAAGGATTATCTCGTCATTCTCGGGTATCGTCCTTGATCTTAATAAAACGAATTTATGGTTTCGATATCCGCATGGCGACTCGGCAAACCGCAGCAGCCCGAATATGCAACGAATAATTACTCATGTTTCATTCCAGTGCAACGATGTGATGGATAAGCTGCTGCGGGGGATCGACGGCCTCTTCAAGGCGATACGTTGCGACAACTCGCCGATTTTAGAATTGCTGGGCGACAACACCCACGTTACCATGAGCAACGTCATGCTCTATTTGGGCATTATCGAGAAACGTATCACCGAGATGTTCCACAAGGTTTACTGGGTGGACAAGGAGGGCAAAGTGCCGCAGCTGCGGCTGGACGAAGAGAGGAAGCCCAGGCTGAAAGTTCCCGTACTCAATCGCATCGTACCCACCCAACCCTGTGTTCTGTGAGCTCCCCCCCGCTTTGTTACCCTATCATGTTCCTTTATTCCGTATCCTTGAGCCCACATCCTTCCGGTCTATCGACGGGTATCCTCGAAATTTTCTGACATTTCAGGCATTTAATCTCGAACGTGACAGTCTAATTTCCGTTCGATACTTAAAATAGGTCAGCTCTTCTCCTATCAAAACAAGGGATTAGAAATTGACTTATAGTACACGATAATCGATAGACATCTAATCAATATATCAGTGAAAAGATTTTTTATTAATTGACTACTTCGGCGCTAAAAACGCGTCAAGGATATCCGGGCCGCCTGTCAACTTCATCTGATTACTTTAACATATGCAGCTGCGTGGAGCAAGAGCAGATGCAGTTCGTCTCGGAGGGCTTGGAGGTGCCGCTGACACGTGCCGAAGCCATGCAGAAGCTGCGACAAAGGCTCATGGAGGATTATACGGAGCTGCTTCACAACGTGTCCGCCTGTCACTTACCGGCGGCTAGGAAGATTATTCAAAGACGTTATCAATAAAGCGAATTAACGACGTATTTTCTTCGTGGATTTGCGACGTGACCTTTTGCATCGTAATAACGTTTGTGTGAAGCTTACGAGGATTCAGCCCGCGAGGGAATCACCAGATCGCCGCAAACGCGCAATCACGTCACAAAGAAAATAACTCTGCGTATCGACTTTTTGAATTATATAATGATTTATTTTACTTAAATCCATTTTGAGATATATATGTATATAGATTTAAAAAAAACATCATTTACACTTTTTACGAAGGTGGTATAACTTGGACTTTTTTGTTACCGAGTGTTTCATTCATTTACTTTGTCGTCACTCATCCGCCGGCTTTACGACACCGAAGAATCGCAATCGGACGCGGTAATGGGATGATAGATAGCTCTATTGCGGCAAGCCTTTCTCTTCCCGCACCTTCTTCTTGACGGTCTTGATAATGCGCTTCAATTCAAGGATGGTGCGCTTGATGTGAATCAGCTGTTGCTCGACGTCCTCGCTGCTCACCTTGACGGGTATCTCTTTCCTCTTGCAAATCTGCTGATAGATGTTCCAGCAGCACGCCTTCACTTGCGTAAGCTCCAAGTTTTTCGTCGCGGCGGTCTCCTTTATCTTCGATACGATCGTCTCCCATTTCAATTCCTGCGCTTTCGCCCGATCGTATCTCGCTTGCAGTTGCGCCAATTTATTATTCAGGCCCATTAATACTTGCGTTTTGACTTCCGTCAAGTGATGCTGCACGTAAAAAAATTATCTCTATAACTCGCGGGTTTTCAATCTGTTTTTTTTTTCTTTTTTATTGAGAAGGGAAGAGGGCAGGGAGAATACTATTTGAAACGAATATTTGAAAGCCAAGAGCTATTAAACACGTAAAAAATTTTATACTATTAAAAACGCGATTGAAAATCAAAAAATGATAGATGCGAATTAAGCACGGGTAAAAAGCACGATAAAATAAAAAAGAAACAGAGATAAAGATATTTCAATAAAAAGTTTAGGAAAGTACTTTTAGTTGTTTGCGGAATGAACATCAATAAAGCAGTTGTAATTGCAAAGCGTGTTAATTCACATCAATCACTGCAATATTTAAGGGGCGATTAAATTAAATAATTCAAAAAAAGATAAGGAGAATTTATAGGATCACGATAATTCGAGATATGACAAATATTAGATGATTGTTAAAACAATACTATTTCTGTTCCTTTGTCTTCTAGCATCTGAAGGTTCCTGTCTTGATGATCAGACAACGCTTGTCTGGCCTCGACTAAAGTTTCGTAGCGATTAAAAATTTCATTGATCGACTGAAACTCGTTCGTCTCGTTCACGACCCTGTCCAAGTAATTTTGGTACTTCCTGTATTCCCCTACGTATCGCTGCATTTTATCGCGCACGTCTCTCATGTAGCGCAATTTCTGCTCCAATTCCTCGATCTAATAAAAAAGTAATATCAGTTACGATCAATATAAAAATCTTTTTTTTTCATATTTTTAATAGTTGATCGATTAAAAATTAAAATCGCGAAACTCGGAGCTTCTAACATTTATTCCCTATATCGACTCCGTACTTCTTGCTTGTATTTCTCTTGGCGTTCGTTCTCCTCTTTGATCTTCTGCTCGGCTCGCTCGCGCTTCTCGACGTTCTCCTTCACGAGCGTATTAAACTTTACAAAAGATTGCCGCAACTGCAATTGCTGCTTTCTCGCCTCCTCCCATTGCTCGTCCATGTATTTACGTTTTATCTCTTGTTCCGCTCGTTTCTCCTTTAATATTTCTTCAACCTGGGTCAACTCCCGACGAGCCCTGATCACATCTGTCGCCGGGCAAACCCTCGCCTTGTCCCATTCCGGATATTTTCTAACATTATTTTTTAACGTGACAAAAATATAATTTATAATTGTGACAAATAACGAAACATGAAACATATTAAATTAAATCTTATTTTAAAGTTTATTAAAAATCTAATTTTCCTATTATAAAATAAAACAAAAACGTGAAAGTTCGTAATTCTATTGTATTAGACTGTCTGTTTCGTATTCTTAATCAATTGTTGCGTGTTACAATGGATCGTTTATCTTGTACATCTCTATTTTTACATTCCCCATAATTATCTTCTAATTATTTCTTATTTTTCTGACGCATAATCCCTCGGCATATATTAAGAACAATTAAGAATACTTTGTTACAACATTTATAATTGTTTTCTAATTGCGTTACTTGATAGCCTGACGTTCCTCTTGCTTGGATATAAAGTACTCCGAAACTGCTTTCTGCGAATTGATCGGGATAACAGCTCTATGCACAAGATTTCTCGACTCATCTTGCGCCATTTCTTTTTCTTTTTCAAAATATCCTTTTAATTAATTTTCAACGAACGTATCTCAACGTGAGTTTATACGCTTTAAAAAAATATGTCACAAAGAGAAGGAAGCATATGTATCTGCTGTGCACGACTGATCGACCAAACAAATTGAATGCAGTCGCGCACACACACACGGGCGCGAGAAAGAGACGAGGAACACGTGGCAGGCGCGCGGCGGGAGGGTAGGGAAAGTCGAAGGCACGGGAGAGGCATCGTTGAAAATAACGAACCGGGTTTTATTCATTTATCGTACACTTTATACAAGAGCTAACAATGACCTCATTAAAAAAAATGCATAGTTATTAAATATCGCGCGGATGAAAGAACGACGAGGAGTAGGGGCAAGGGGGGCGGAAAGAGGGAAACGCGCAATACGGTTGGCGAGGATGATAAAAGCATTCACGTCCGTTCACGAGTGGGCTTCCTGGCCGAGCAGAGAAAGTTGCCTGAGCAATTGCTTGGCGTTGATGAAGGTCGTGGAGCCGTAGATGACTCGTTTATTCACCCCGGCACCGCTTCGTTGCTTCACATAGTCCACCAGATTCTGGTACTCGATGTAATTGCCGCCGCCGACCACGAAGACTATCACGTCCTGGAACGTCGGCCGGTTCTTCGGCATCTGCTCGTTGTGCTTGAGCTGCTTCGGGTCCAGGTAGAGGTAGTCCTCGGTGCGCGAGGACTGCTTGGACTCCATCAGCTCGTCCACGATCTTGGTGACGGGCAGATTGTGCTTCTTCACCACCAGATTCTTCACGCCCTCCATGACGAACGACGAGCCCTGATTCATCAGCTTGGAGAACATGCTGACCGTCTTGGTGCCGCCGCCCTCGTAGCTGCTCTGGATCTCGGCTATCCTGGTGTAGTTGCGCAAACGCTTTACGTATATCAGCGGGTTCAGGTCGCAGCCGGCCGCGGTGAGCGCCGCCTCGAGCTTGCCGTACTCCGCGTCGGACATGTTCGTGCAAATGAAATAAATAATAGCCAGACGCAGCTTGTCCTCGGCAGTGCCGCAGTCCGGGTCGCCGATGGTCTCAAACACGCTCCGGTCGAGCGTTTGCTTGCTCATAATTTTCTCCTCCAGCTCGAAGAACGTGTCGAGCCGTCTCGACTTGATGGCGTTCAGGATACCGGTGGCCACTGAGGTGTGCATGTCGATCAGCCGCTTCATCTCCAGGAGCTGCGGCAAAGAATTTACGGCGCTGGTCAGACGGGCCGTGTTATTGGACACCATGGACAAAGCCATCTCGTTGTCGTTGTCGATGCCCATGGAGGACTTGAGCTTCTTCACGTCCTCCTCGAAGGTGCGATACTGCTCGAGCTCCTCCTGTATGGCCTCTGCAACTCGGGGGAACGGGCTGCCCTTGTGCTGGCACCAGAAACGGTCCCGGTTGTCCAGCTCGTAGGCGCGCGTCTTGGAGCGTGTCCCACCGGCGGGTGACCGTCCCACGCTCTCCTCCACGACGAGCCTGTTCAACGTCATCTCGAGAACGTCGTGCGCCAACGCCTGGTACGTCCACGTGTGGTGCAGCGGCGTGGCCATGTCGACGTTGCGGTCCAGCACGATGAGCAAAGGCCTCTGGAAACTGTAGTGACCGGTAGCGGACGCCTCGCCCTCGAACAGGTTGTTCCTCGCGTCCCACACGTTCTCCCGCAGCTTCTTGTCGATCATCTTGGCGACCATCTCGGCGGCGTTGCCCCTGGGACACCTTATGATCGGCACGGTGCCCAGAGTGACGAACACCGAGAACAGGCAGTCCACGATGATGTCCATCACGGACTCCATCTCGCTGTCCTTGACGTCGCCGCGATTGATCGCGTGGTAGGATATCACGTCGCTGTTCTGATGCCGCAGGACGAACAGATCGTCCTCCAGGGTGATGAAGTTCAGGTACTGATCGAACACCTTGTGGATGCTGGCGACGACGCCGCCGAGCAGGGCGGCGGCCGCCAGGTCCTCCATCCTCTGCCGGCTGATCGGCGAGATGAAGTTGAGGTGGTAGACGTCGTAAAGGCCGTTCTGCAGGTCCTGGCCGATCCTGCCGAGGTTCTCGTCGGTGGGCGCGCAGAAGTAGATCGCCGGCACCTCGGGGATGGAGTCGCGGTCCGAGTGGAGCTGCATGTGCAGCGTGATGCCGAGCTCGCGCAGCTCCTTGACGGAGATGAGCGGCGATATGATGTCCTGGCCCAGGCGATCGTAGACGAGAATCTTCCACGTGGGCACCGCGCCCTCGAGCCGCGGCTCGGGCTGATTCAGATTCAGCATCTGCTTCAGGGCGTTTATCTGACGGTCGCGCAGGCTCATCGTGACCGGGGACGGGTCACCCGTTTTTTTCAAGGAACCTAACCTCGCGCGCGCGCCCGCGACACCCGGGCGACACTCGTACACGGTCGGCAGCCGGAGGCTGCCAGTCAAGTTACGTGACACACGCGACCACCGCTGCGATCCCCGGGAGACGTCGAACGCGCACCTGGTGTCGCATATAGAGCGGAATTCTCAGAAGTCTGTCAATCTAGTCCGGTCTTGTGCACCCACCGAGCTGTCAAACCATACGTATGACGGAGAGACGGACACGTCACGTTTTGATGTTTTTCGTTTGATACGTTACGTGACGATACATTACCGATAAAGCAGTGACTTATCTGACTTACTTTAGATAATAC